TCATATGGGTTTTGTAGTTGTTCATATGTTTTATAGGATCACCTCTCCCATCGTACTTTGGGATTTTTGGGAGTGAGAAGTGGTTCAACATGGGGGCACTCCTTATGGCTTCTGAAAGGGAGATTTGTCATCGTCATCATCCAAATCACAGGATCTTTGAGGACCATCTGAATCGCCATCTTCTTTTTGGGGTGCCTGGGGGAGTGGCCGAGACGTTTCTGCCTCATTTTTAGCTTGGTTTCTCCTTTTCTCCCTATTTCTAGGGAGTCGGATTAAATGTTCTCTCAGATTTGAAGGCTCTTCGTGGTACGTGGGTAGATCCTCAGGTTGATGAGGCTGATGTTGCCTCACTCTAATCGGAGGAGGTGGAGAATTAAGCTTGCCTATTTTTAGGCGCCCCTGAGCTTATCCTGTCGAAAACACTTCTGGACCTCTGGCGTCGATTTTTTGGTTCATAGTTTGGAGGGTGGTTGAATGGGACTCATATGGTCTCTCTGAGGTGTGGTTAATCGAGGCATCCATTTCAACATTTTTCTCTTGAGGAGCCTTCATCCCAGCATATGGAGGTTCAGTCATTCGACTTTGTACTTGTTCCTCCTGATAGTACCCTTGCGCTTCAGGAAAGACATCTTCCGGGGCTGTATATTGGTGAGTCTGATAGCCTCCTTGTCCCTACATGCTCATCAACATTTCTTGCATAGCTAGGTTCTGCTGAGTGATATTTCTCACGTTGGCTGCCATTGTCGTCATTTCCCTAGTTAACCTGGCTGCTACTCCCCCTCTGCCCCTAGAACCTCATCTCCTACTTATTGGAGGTCTTGGGCGGGCTGCCTGAGCAGCATGTGAGGGTTCCCCTTCTTCAGGGTGTTCCCTTGTTCTTCTAGGGGCATTTTCGTCCATGGAACTCATCTCTTGATTATTTTCGTAAGCAAATTTTTATCCCTTTCTTCAAGGGTTATTAGTTCTTGGCCGTTCTTGCTATAAGGCTGCTTCTTTTTCAAGAACAAGAACTTCTTTCCGTCAATCTTTTTAGAAATGTAACCTGACCTTTCTCCCCACGTATATTCGTAGTTAAATGTAGGTATTTCTCACAGATGTCACCAATCTGTTGACCGCAAAAAAAATGAACTCAATAGATATCGGGCTCACTTTCGCCACGTCAAGTACGGATCCAGCATGTTTTTACCAGAATAGGAACGGTAATCCAACTATAGTGAACGTGGGAGGTACTTTTCGACGAGAGACAAAAATGTTAAGGTTCCGACGATATGATTCCAGAACAATCACACTATCAATGATCTCCTTTAAAAAAAATGATAATGAAATATGTGGAAGGATAGATATGATGAGTAGATGAGTTCCCTCCTTTTCAGTAAGATTCCAAGTGATTGTATAAGTATGTCTTTGTATATTCTTTGCATGAATCCATCGTCCCATTTTTCTATATAGAGAGTGACTATTTATACTGTTCTAGCCAACGTGATGATCGTCGGAACAGTCCATGTGGCGACATCCCCTAAACCGAAGCTTCACATCACTGTCCACTTATTACATTTAATGTTTGACTAAAGG